GCAGCATTAACTACACAGAGCCATTGTTCACCGACAAGCTGCGCAAAACCACGTTCATATTCGTGCGATTTTTTGCGCAGCTTGTCGGTGAACAACGGCTCTGTTTAGTTAATGCTGCTCAATGTGAAAACACGCAGGTGATGGAGATTTACCGCTGATTACAGAACCGGCAGCCCTAATGTTTATATTCATATAATTTATATTATATATAAATATATTTAAAACATAAACATAACATATTTTTCTTAAATAAATACATGTCAGTATTTATATATACATAATAAATATACACAGTATACACATATATTATGTAAACATAATTAGTAATTAATCGTTTGACAGCACTAGTTTTGAAATAAAACCCACCCTGTTCAGACGGTACACACAAATATGGACAGGTTCATGCATTTCACACAGTGGGCTTAAACAGCTCTTCTACAGCAGGCCATACATGTAATTACAGCACTCCTGAATGATAAACCCACATTGCGTGATGAAAAGAATCAGCTCGTTAACGAATCGGACACCGCTTCCACGTTTCATAGCGCGTGACGATTTCTCTAGCACAAAATAATGAGGAACGGCACGTTCTAATGAAATATAGTGGAGTACAATATTAAAATCTGCAATGCAGTAAAGTAAAAATAAAGGTTTCCCAAAATAAAAATACTCCAGTAAAATACAGACACTTGAAAATTGTGCTTAAGTGCAGTAATGAAGTAAAAGTAGTTACTGTACTTGTGTCTCAATCAAATACAACGGCGTCCACCATGATGTCTCCATCTGTTCTGGACACTAAAACTTTTCCAAATGCATTTTTTTTGCAGCAGTTTAATATTCTCTTGGATATAGCTCCAGAGAATTTGTCACACATCCTAAGTCTGTAAACCTGTTCCTGGAGAGCCACTATTAGCTAACCTCCATCAAACACATCAGAAGCCGCTAATCAAGCTCTTCACTAGAATCACTAGGAAAAACAAGAAGCCAGCTGAGCTGAAGCAGGTTGGAAATAGGAGCAGGGTTGAAGACCTAGGTCCTCGATCATGTGACGTGTATATTATGATGCCGGTCTACAATTATATACTTCAAGAGTGGTCACATTAGCGAAATTTCAAAAGGCAAAAAAGGTCCACTGTCTGTTATCAATAGTGTAGCGATGTATGAGGCACACAGCTCACACAGAAGTCACTCGCAAGTTGCAATATCACTGTCTTCGGTTGTAACACGGCGAATCTGCATTACCAACTGAACCCAATGTGAAATCTGCATGGAGAAATCTTTGCCCTTTGAATTTCAGTTGTGGAAATGGTAAATGTGTCTGCATCTTTAGGAGGCACCGTCACACAAAACAGTCCGTCAAGCTGCTGTGGTGTTGCACACAGCCAATCATTTGATCAATGGATGAGTGCTATTGAAAAATGATTAAACGCCATTGCTCACCTGAGGATTTGTCTGTCATCTCAACACCTGCAGTTGTATGAAACAGATCAGAATCAATGGATATTAATTAACAAGAACCACCTTGGATGAGCTCTAAATAAACATGGTTTGTTTATATTCTACAATATAGACAATGCTAATAATAATAAATAAGCATGTGTATACTGGTGTATGTAAACAGTGCACAACCATGACTATAATGACTATGCAGCCCGATACAGATTTGATATTTCATTTTCCTTCTAAGACCATTCAATAAGAAATGTATTGTGATAGACACAAACCGTGGTTGGTAATATGGATTTTGTAATTCTGTGTCCTGTGCAATATTTTTGAGCACATTGGGCAATGCCAGTGGCTCCTGCCTTGGCCTCCATCAGAACAATAGCAGGGGATAGAAAACTTCCCTGTCAAGAACAGACAACATTCAAGTCGGGAACGGGTGTAAAATGGTATTTGTGTGCAAAATGTGTGTTGTAGAAACGGCTGCTGGTCGATTACCGAGGCCAGAGTCTTTATAATATATAGCGAATCTGAGATGTTTCTTTCTGAGGTGCTGTTTAGATGCAGTGACTGGAATCCTACAGTAGAGACAGTCCAGATCCTTCGTCACGCTGAAAAGCTCCTCTTCATCAACAAACACAAACACTCGCTCTGTAAAGCAGTGAGTGAAACACGAGCTTTGTGGAGCCATTAACACTGCATGTGGATCACCTGAGATAGTGAAATGTGTTTTGATATTTATGACCGTGCTGTAGAACAGTAAAGTGATGTCCATCACAGACCGTACTTTAACCATAAATTAAAATTCAGCATTTTTAAAACCTCGAGAGGACCGAAGGACAATTTCTATTCTAATATAAAGCATTATACTCACCAGCAGTCATGACTATTCACTTCCAGAGCCTAAAAATACATTTAAAAGACACATTTAATTAAGTACCAAATACTATTTATTTATGTGCTCTGAAAACTCCATTACAACAAGACACTACTATTGCTACTACAGTAAAACTATGGGACAGTCACACCACAGTCTATGCAAAAATAAATCACGAAATTACATAAAATAACAGATTGTGAAGGCTTCTTAAGAGGTATATATCATATTAATGCATTATTTACAGTAGGCACAATAACTACGGCATGTTGGTGTGGTTACCCTGGTGGGTTTGGTTATAGTAATATCCTTTAACCCGTTTACTAGAACCATAATAAACAAAGATAAATCTACTAACCTCCCACAAGCAGATGTGTGGATGTAAATCAGTCAGATTTTCTGTCAAATCTCTCGATGCAGATTCTCTAAAGATGATACCACAATTTTAAAAGCATTGATCAACTGCGCTTTGAAAAAAAAAAAATATATATATATATATATATATAAGAAATAAAACAAGCGACAACAAAAACAAGTGTGCTACTGCCTTATTCTTCTTCTTCTTCTTAAATGTTTTTGGCGGTTGGCAGACCAGCTAATATGTGTTTTACCGCCTCCTGCTGGACTGGAGTGTGGAACAAAAGTCCGGCTGAGAAAGATAACAGGAGGAAGAAAAGAAAGAAAGAAAGAAAGAAAGAAAGAAAGAAAGAAATACCTATTCTATGATCTTCATATTCGTTCTAGTAGACGTTCTCTTTCAGATATGAAATTAACTGTACATATGTTTTCCTTAGTGCTGTTCCAAATATATTTTCCAATGTAAATTTAAGTTTATATTTTTCAAATACTTCTTTTAATAGTATTCTCTTATTTTCATATGCATGACATTCTATTATTATATGTTTTACTGGTTCAGGTTGGTTACAATGTGTACATAAACCATGTGTGTGTTTACCTGTTAAATGCAGAGTCTTATTGAGCCCTGTATGTCCTATTCTGAGACGAGTAATGACTGTTTCCTCCGATTTCCACCCATTTCTCTTCCTACACCGACTTTGCTTTGAATATTATAATAATGTCTTCCTGTATCATTAAAGGCAGGGTATGTGATTTTTCAAAAACACTTTAGAAAACTGATTCGGGCCGAATAGCAAAACAAACTTGTAGCCAATCAGCAATAAGGGGCGTGTCTACTCGTGATGTGGAGGATGTAATGTCAATTTTTTTCCTTTTATTGAAAGTCATGAAAACACTATCGTGGAGTATTTGTTTTACTATTTGAGCAACTGGGAATGCAAAAAATATATTTGTGGCGCTCTCCCATTCACTGCTATTCAAGTTAACCCAACTATGACTTGTTTTGGTATCAACATTGGATACCAGAAATCACTTACTCTGCCTTTAATGGACCCTTTTCAAAAGACTGTGATGACGCGTTTAACGGTCATCAGCATCGTAAATCCTCGAAAGTTTTTCATATTAGTATTTTTTTTTTTTTATGTATCTACATTTATAACCCCAGTATTCCTGCCATAGATTTAGTCTATGTACCTTTATTATAGTCTTGGCTTCATCTTTACTTAATTTAACCTGTAGATCTATTGTTTGGGATTTGAGAGATAGTTTTGCTAAAAGATCTACCTCTTCGTTTCCTTTCACACCTAGCCTACATGTGCAGGAACCCAGATAAATGCTGCATTCGTACCATTATTGTGTAATCTAAGGATTATTTGATATGTTTCATTTAAAATGTCAAGTCTGCATGATTTCCCGGATCCAATACTTATGAGAGCACATAAACTAAAATAAATCAGATGCTACTATTGTTTTTATTTCTTCGTTCTAGCCACTGTAAACCTAATATTATTGCTACCAATTCTACTGTATTCACTGATAAGTAATCCGTTGTTCTCTTTTTAATATTTTCCTCGCATTGTGCGATGTATATAGCTACCGCAGCACCTGTGCGACCAATATCAGGGTTCTTTGAATCATCTGTAAATAACATTTATTTTATTGGTGAAATGCAACTCCTGTCTGGTGTATAGTTTTAATATAGGCATATAGGCATAAGTTTTGATTTTCTTTTTATTTCTTTCTGTAATTGCAAGTCAATTAAAGGCATTATAAACTTCCAAGGGGGAACTTCAGAGTAAGGAACTGTTGGACAGTATTGTATAGTATGTAAACATGCCTTCCTTGCTTTTGCACTTTCTATCCATTCAAAACTCATAAAATTTGATTTATTGTTCCCAACACTCTTGTACTATTGCCTTCCCCTTATCCAAAGGGCCCCGTCATCAGCATATAATGATTTTCCTATACTGTGATCAATTTCTTCAAAAACGTCATTAATCATTATATTAAATAACAGCGGTCTGCATACACAGCCTTGAGGTGTACCGACGCGGTGTATCACGTGACTGTCGCCGTTTAAAAGACGTGCCGCTGTCAACCCTGCTAAAAAACTAGCGACTGTGCTGCCAAAAACATGTTTCCCATTTAATATATACATGCATATATATTTGAAGTAATTAGCCAGCCAGGACTTACTTTAATAACATACATATGCTATGCCTATCTTTGCTGCTCATCACACACACAGCAAGAGACGCGTATTTAGGGAAACTACACATCATGTGCAGTTTTATACATTTAACAGCCCAGGATACAAATAAACCAGAACTCTTGATTTTTCAACCGTGTGTCATGTTTATATTAAACAGAATAATATACAGCAGCGTGTATTAAAACATACAGTAGGCCTAAATTCACTTGCGATTCATAATTCATGCTCACCATTTTAAAATTGAGCTGTTAAATCTCTCAAATAACAAAATAACACTTAACTCAGTGTCTATGAAAGGTGCTGGAAGTTTAGGTTTTTCTTTGTATATTTATTTTATTTCTTAATTCACAGATGACTATTTGTGCCTGGTGTGTGAACAGTTCCAAAGAAATCCATTGTTTCTATCCACAAATATCTTCATAACCCTGTAAAGATGAAAATGACTATCATGGTGCAGGTTGGAACAGGACGGGATCTCCAGGAGCAGACCTCTGCTTTAGATTTGGCAGCGGGAATCTGATCCTAGAAGCCACTGGTTAAGAGTAGCTTGATTCTGGAGCAGAAAACAGACGTAACAGGTAATGGATTTAGATAGTTGAGCCAATTCTTTACATCCTGATCGAAGGTAATACCACCAAATGCTCACGTGGGACACAAAAAAGCTTCTGATTGCAGATCATGTCAGTTCATTGTTTATATAGCCTAGCGCTTAAACAATACCGATTGTGTCAAAGCAGCTTTACAGTGTCAACAGGAAAATAGTTCGTCAATAATGCAAAAGAGAAAAAGTGTCATTCTCCAGCTAAAGTCAGTTCATTGATGACTCAGTGCTGCCATCACCAGTTCAGCTCTCCTCCAACAGTGTCTGTGCAATCAGTCAAGCGTCTCCAACTGAGCGAACCAAAGGTGACAGAACCAAACCTCCATCGGTGACAGAAATAGAGAAGAAAGAAACCTTGGGAGAAACCAGACTCAGTTTGGGACTGATTTGCAGGAAAATGGATGATTGCCAGTGCAGGACAGTGTGAAATCTGCTTTCAGTCTGACCCACTCAGTCTCTCTGTTTTATGAAATCATTCTGCTGCTTCAGATGCCTGTCCTAAATCAGTTTCGTGAGGTACATTTTGTGTACAGGGCTGGGGTCCTCCAGGACAGGTTAGAAAACCCCTGCATTAATGCATCTAATACAATCTTTAATGTCACATGGCTGGACTGGGTGGCTTAGATCAATGTCTATCATTAATGGCTAGTTAAATCTCATCGATGTTCTTCATAAAACATCTGAGTTACCTTTAGCTGTAGTACCAGACCAGCTGAAATATTTCTAATGCAAAAACATTCTTCCTTACAGTTTGGTTCCTTCTGCTTTTCCCTGCTCTCAGATCGGCCTGCATCCATGAGCTGCTGGGAAGAGAGTCACTAGCTGCCATGTTCTGCCCTGATGTCCAGAGCTGAACTGCAATCAAACCAGCCGTTCCTCTGGCAATGGAAAGCCATGAGATCCTGAACCTTTCATCATGAAAAATGCTCTGCAGCCAGTGCTAGAGGGGAGAAAAGTCTTCATATAGGAATCAATTTATCTTATGTCTCTTATAAGCAATGCACACCAGTTCTGCCAACGATAGAAGACTAAATTCCAACACTTGAAGGCCTGTTCACAACAAGAGCAGTAACATTAGCATCAATGCTGCACAATAACGTTCTGTCATCAACACTCAATGCATAAGTGCATTAACAGCAACACTTATGCATAATTACATGCAAGTAACCCTAAGCCAAACCCTAACCATATAGTACTGTAAACATGTAGTTAATTAATATTACTCAGTACTTAAATGTATGGACACCTTAAAATAAAGTGTAACCCAGTTATTATAGTGGATGCACTTTATTTTACAGTGTGTGTACTTACAATGTACATTTACCTTTAGTCATTTAGCAGATGCTTTTTTTCCAAAGAGACTTACAAATGAGGACAATGGAAGCAATCAAAACAACAAAAGTGCAATGATATACAAGTGCTATAACAAGTCTCAATTTAACGTAGTACAAGTAGCAAGGGTTATTTCTTAAATTATATAATAAATAAAAAGAAAACAGATATAATACAAAAAGAATAGTGCAAGCTAGTGTTACAGGCCTTTTTTTTGCTTTTGTTAATTGTATAATAAATAAAAAGAAAACTAGTGTTAGTTTTTCTTTTTTTAAAGCAGTTAGTAAATAAATAGTGCAATTTTTTTAAAGAATAGAATTAGAATGGAGAGTGCTAGAGTTAGAGGGTCAAATAAAGATGGAAGATATGTGTTTTTAGCCGATGTGCTTAGCTAAGAAAGTAATGTAAGGTAACTACATGGGTTAAGGTTAGGTTTAGAGTTAGTACCATATTACCAGTTATTGTAATCACAATAACTGTACATAGTACAGTGCGTGCATTATTATTATGCAAGGTGATATTCTGATCATATTTTTTTCCAAGCACATTTTACCAATTCCAAACCACATTAATTTTAATAACTACTATTGGTTTTGTATTTAATAATTTATAAGTGACATATAATTGTCCATGAAGGCTGGGAGTGAAAATCTTTTTATATTCAGGTGTGCAGAGTTATTAGGCATGTTTTCTTTTAAAGCCAAAAAACAGGTTAAATCCCCATTAAAAAACAGTTAAGGCATGACCACTGGACAATGAAATGCTCAGTGGGTCAGCGAGGTCAGAAAAACAGGAGGAGAAGAAAAGACACGTTTACTGCAAAAGATTTAAGAATTAATGTGAAGAATTGTGTGTGAAACCATCAGGAACCATTTAGTCTCCAGCACCAGTTCATTTTTAGTCCATCTCCTATACTGATGGATATCTTGCAGAGATGGACCAAAAATGATCTCCCAAAACTTGCGGTCAGATTCTGGACGATAAATTCTTGAAAGAGTGGTGCAAGAGGATGTGATACTGGTCTTTCAACAGTCACTCAACTTACCGGTCTATAAAGCCTATAAAAAGGAGTCTTCACGTATTTTACTACACTTCAGCATGTTATTCTTAAGTGAGGATCTTTTTTTAGGATTTTTGACCAAAGCAAAGTCTCTGAGAACCTGACACCTTGTAATTCTGGAGACTCCAGGAAGGGTGCGGTTCTGGAAAATGCTGGCGCTGGAGACTAAATGTTTCCTGATGGATTTACACCCAATTCTTTTGCAGTTAACAGGTCTTTTCTTCTCCACCTGTTTTTGTCTTACCTTGCTGACCCAATGAGCATTTCACCATCCAATGGTCATTCCTCAACTTCGCAAATTCTAGTATCATATCCTTCTCATGGGTATTTAATAATTTTTGACTTTTCAGTCAAAAATCTTTTTTGGCTCATTTTATCTGTAAAGGAAAGTCTGCTTAATTACGCACACCTGAACATAACATTTTCACTTCCAGCCTTCATGGACAACTATATATAACTTATATATAATTCCATAAATATATATCATCCAGGTGGATGCTGCACACTGGTGGTGGATGAGGGGAGCCCCCCCCCCCAATATGATTGTAAAGTGCTTTGGGTGTACAGCAATACACAAAGCGCTATATAAATGCCTCATTCATTCATGATTAAATTATTAAATTCAAAATTAATAGCAGTTAAGATTGATGTGGTTTGGAATTGGTAAAACGTGCTTGGGGAAAAAAATATCAGAATATCAACTTGCATAATTATGCACGCACTGTATGTGCACGTGGAACAGGACTGTAAAATAAAGCACTATTATAGCTGTTGGTGTGAATAAGCCTCGAGAACCACTTTTATCTGCCAAGAAAAAAAGTATAGCCCTTTACAAATCATTGATTTTTGGTGAAAAAGGCATTAAAAAGAACACACAACAAAATATAGAGACTGGATTTTAATAAAACAAAATCAGACAGTTTTCAATGAACTATTACATGAAGAAACCAAAGCCTAGATTTTTCAGATAATAGTTTTACAAGCCACAAGATGCAGCGGCTTTTCGTTTCCTTGCCAAGATCATGGTTTATAAAAAGGACTGACATGCAGCACACTAAATTAAATCACTTATTTTCATGCTATTGTTACGAATATAAAATATTGAAGCGGTGGGTGATTCACTTTTACTATAGAAGAGTAAAATAAAACAAATTAAATGCCTTAGACCTGGATCCCATCATGACCATTAGAAAACCATCCTGGACAACTGGACTCGTAAGAAGGTGGGGGAAAAACCAAAGATCAGACCACACTTAATACTAATCTTGGGACGCAGACCTGGAACGGGAGCGGGATTTAGAGCGCGAGCCAGACTTTGAGCGAGAGCGTGAATGCCTGTCTGGAGACTTGTGCTGGCTCTTCTCAGCCTGAGGTGATGGAGAGCGAGAAGCAGACTTGGCACGACCCCCGTCACCATTCTCCATCGGTGAAGCAGATCTACTTCTGGATTTCCTGCCGACCGATTTCTCCTTGGAGCGTCCACGATCCGACTTCACTTTAGAAGTGCTCTTAGAGCGGGACTTGCGCTCATCCGAGCGAGAGCGAGACTTGCGACTGGTTGATCGACTGCGAGATTTGTGTGTGCGGGAGCGAGAACGAGATTTACGGTTGCGCGAGCGAGACTTGCTCGATGGAGATTTGGAGCGAGACTTGTGTCCCGACCTGGAACGGGAGCGGTGCCGGCGAGAGCGAGACCTATAGAAGACAAACAGCAGCTGAAAGAAGGGATACAAACAGTTATTTACATTCAATACATTTTTGTTTTAATACCTTGAACGAGATCTTGAGTTGCTCCGAGAACGGCTGCTACGGCGACTCCTACTACGAGAACGACGCCGGCTACGAGAACTGGGGGGGGGATAAAAAATAAAAATTACCTTTTTTGTTAAACATACCTACTCCTATCCCAGCCTAATATGCAAAGTCAACTGTAAACAAATACTGAGGCTCTGATCAAAGCAGCGCCCTTGAGCATTCAGTTTGGCACTGGATTGTTTGTCCAAACAAAGATGGGAGGGTTTGAAAACAGCCTTTTAACTTCATAATCAGCAATTAAATATGACCCAGGATAGAACCTTGTGGTACACCAGGGGTGAAAAGTGTCCAGTAAGATCCCAATCCTAGAAGCAGGGGTTAAAGCAAAAAAAAAAATCCTGAGCCTGAACTTTTTCCCGGGGGAACAGGGGATATTTTAATACTATTTTAAAGAAATTTTCAATGACAAAATATTTGTCTTTTAATTACAAAAAGTAAAACAATGCAGTTGAATTTAGAAATATTTTAACTAATATAGGCTGTAACTAGTGATTATTTTGACAAGAGTAATCTGATATTTTTTAGTAACAAACAGACCAGGTGAACAGACAAGTGAAAAACCAGGCTTTAGTATGACTATTTATATATAAACTTACGATGAGGCAATAATAATTGGCTCAAATAAAACATCAAAACCAAGAAATTACATAATTGTATTGAACACTGTTAAAATACATAATGTAATATGCCTATACATAATATGAACATAACCAACTTAAGTACATTATGCATTAAACCAAAAACATGCAGAGGGCACCAACGGCCTGGTGACGTTTCACTTTACAGCGCGATTAAACGTTCCATTAAATTTTAATATTTGTCCACATGCAAACTCAGAAACTTTTATTTTGAAATCGCGATGTACAATACATGGCATATTTAGACATAGGTTGATGTATTTTCCTGTGTTGGCATAGGTTTATAAATGATTTACGTTTCAAATCTAGTGAGATAATGCACACCGTTTTTCCAGATGAACGTTAAGCAATTCAAATTCACAGCATATGCAGAGGAAGACTTTAGCCCCTTTCACACAGTACTGGTAAATTACCGGTAAGTTACCATTAATAGATCATGAGAACAGGACTTTTTCAAAAATCCCGGTAAATTTGATCTGGCAATCATATCGTTTTATGGAGATGACATGATTACTCTGAGCTGTTTACAAAGCTCCACTGCTTTTTAATTTGTTATTCTATGTAAATATGCACTAGATGGACATCTTTGACCATTGCGCCTCGCAGCTTCTCCATTCATCAGGGCTGCGACTCTGATTATGCGCGTCTCGTGTTTATAAGAGCAAAACATTCTGATTGGCTAGTAATGTTAGTTTGGTTGAGCGTGAAAGCTGTGCTCCTCTCATACCATTGGTAGGCGAACTCATGAACTCGAAAGTGATAATCAACAAGATTTCTTTTTAAATGTAGGACTATTTTTGTCCGCAGCCAAACGCTGCACGCCGGAGATCCGGCACGGTGCCGGAGAACTTTAAGCCCTGAAGATTTTTTTTAAAATGTAGGACTATTTTTATCCGCAGCCAAACGCTGCACGCCGGAGAACTTTAAGCCCTGTATAAGATTTTAAATGTCTTGAATATTAATCAATATCCAAGCCAATCTAGAGGCACAACACTACCAGTTTCACCAGAAATTGGTGCTTTGCACTTGTTGGTGATAAGTTAACACTCACCGAGAGCGGCTGCCAGAGTAGGAGCGACGACGGCGCTGCTTTTCTTCAACCAGACGAATCTTCCTGCCATTGATGTCTGTCCCATCCAGTTTCTCCATAGCTCTCCGAAGGTCAGAGTAAGAGCGGAACTCAATCACACCCTCATTGGCACGCTCCTTATGGGCATCTGCGTAGGTCACCTCACCTGCCTGTCGCATGAAATCCTGCAAAGGGTACCCAAACTTCACCTCTGTGCACAACACTGATGGCAATGACAAGGTACTTCCTTCAGTTATAAATAGTGATGCAGAGAGAAGATTTTTTACTGAAACCGAAATTCATCAACCGTTACCTTGAGGTCTTGCCAACTGCAGCGACTAGACAGATTCTCCACAATGAGGCGGTACTCGGTGCGAACAGGAGGGCCATACTTTTCCCTTCCGGTGCGACTTCTGCTGCTGTAACCACCTTTGTAAGAAAAGGGAAGGGAACATAAAAAAAAAAAGATTCTTACAACAGAGAAATCAGGGAAAGACAAGCGCCATTGACTTAACATTAGAACCTAAGAGATGATACAAGTCATATTTGCCCTCTGTTGCTTATTGCCAACCTGTTCAGACTCAAGAGCACTTTGCTGCCTCCCAGAAAAGGCATTACTATTTGGATAAAAGAGAAACTGATAAGACACACATAAGGCTGACGAGACCCATAGCTGTCGCGGTCCCGGCGCGGACCCCTGGCGTGCTCCACCATGACCCGCTCTCCACACAGCTCTTTACCGTTCAGCTCATAGACGGCGTCATCAGCATCACGGGTGTCCTCAAACTCAACAAAGCCGTACCTATAAACACAGCAATGATTAGGCCAGGCATCACAGAGCAGTGTACAAATGTAATGGGGTTAAATCCAAAAATCATGCGTGAACCCCAACATGCTGTGTGTCATTGATCAAAGCTGCTCCTGGTAGGGTTGGGTATCGTTTGGATTTTTTTTTTCAATACCGGTGCCAAATTGATACTTTTAAAACGGCTCCGGTGCCTGAACCGGTACTTATTAAAAAAATTAAAAAATAAATAAAATAAAAATTCCCCAAACAATTATGGATTGGCCATTAGCACTATAAACACATGATGTCCGTTTCATTCATACTGGACACCAGAGGGCGCCCTCGCACAGAAAATCCACATATTCAGTCACAGAAGTAGCTGAACTCATGACCCTCCAGGAAATCCCTTATATGGACAAAGGCATCACTATTATAGCTGTTTATAGTAAACCGAACATATAAACGTTTTGAATAATAAAACGAAGACAATAAACACTCGACTGCGACAATATAGTTTATCTGTGTAATTCAAGCCATCTAATTTTCATAAGTATATTTATAATCCATTGCTAATCGATGTATTCTTTTTAAAGTAGCCTATGGAACATATTTTCTGCCTCATTCTGTGACAAGAAGCCTCATCAGATCACAAAAGGAAGCATGTGACTGGTGTGGAGTAAAAAATTTCCCGAATTGTGCTTTTAAGTCAGAATGTGGAAACAGCATGGACACTCTCGTTACTACAAAGATGTGTTGGATTTGTATTATTAGAGCTTTCCGATGATTTATTGTGTTGGTTACATTTTGTTCCTTTGTGCAGTGGCTTTGAGTCTGTATAAGCATCAACAAGCTGAAAAATAAAACCAATGTTTTTTTTTTAGATAATGTAATCCTGTTCAAATAGATTTCATAAAATTGGTATCGAAAAAAAGTATCGTTCAGGAACCGGTATCGAAGTCAAGGTATCGGTATCGAAAATTTTTGAACGATACCCAGCCCTAGGTACCGGGTTTCGGTACCCAACCCTAGCTCCTGGAGGACAAGCTCATGATCTTAGGCTCTCTACCTTTAAAGATCCATTGTGAAAGAAAATTTGAACCCCTTGCTTTTGTTTTTACACTTTCAGTTCTCTAAATCCTTCAGAGACAAATTCAAGCCTCAGCTTGTAATTGAAGCAGGGTTTCTACAGACATGAACAAGTTAAATTTAAGACTTAAGACCTTTTCAATACCACCTTATATGAAATTTAAGACCTAAACCTGTAATGGAAATACACATTTTATTACATACATATGTGTAATGGAAACATTTTATTACATACATATATGTAATATTTAATGTGTATAAATTAAAAAGAAAACAAAATATCATTGCTGTAATAAATTATATTACTACGATATACAGTGAACTTTTCATGTCAGCAGACAATACTCCATACAAAATATCCCCGCAAAATAACTGCATCAATGAGGTTTTTGGTGGAGTAAACAATTTATTCTGAAGCAATATTTTCATCAGTGTTCTATCAGCTTTTACATACTTAAATCTGCATATTTTTATTTACATTTACAAAGGCCTATTTTTAACTTTTTTAGATATATGTATGAATCATCTTTCATGTCAAATTATTCCAATTTATCAATAAATTCAATATACACTATCGGGCTGCTACCAGTCAGATTAAATAATTTACACTGCAAATAACAATAATTACAACTGCAATAAATAAGGTTATGAGATTATTGTTTTAAATGCATTTATGAATATACAAATAAGAAATGTTGAGGGGAAAAATGCATACTTTTCAACAAACTTCTCAACTAAACTACCAGTAAGTGACGGTAAGTCACTGAACGAGTGAGTATTGAGTCATTCATTCAACTGATTGAGTGTGTTATCATGCTGGTATCTTAAGGACTTTCGTGGACAGCTGACTCCTAAAGTTTTTTGTCAAATTATTACAATTTATCAATAAATTAAATATACACTGTAGGGCTGCTACCAGTCAGATTAAATAATTTACACTGCAGATAACAATAATTACAACTGCAATAAATAATGTTATGAGATTAATGTTTTAAATGCATTTATGAGTATACAAATAAGAAATGTTGAGGGGAAAAATGCATACTTTTCAACAAACTTCTCAACTGAACTACCAGTAAGTGACGGTAAGTCACTAATGAGTGAGTCATTGAGTCATTCATTCAACTGATTGAGTGTGTTATCACGCTGGTATCTTAAGGACTTTCGTGGACAGCTGACTCCTAAAGTTTTTCATATTCTGTGTGGTGGTCAGATAGAAATTAATCTTTCCCAATAAGTTTAAGTAGTTTTTTTACCTTTTATGGGCATTTTTGCCTTTATAAAGCCATTTTTCTATAAGTGTGCATTATCTTTTGAGTCAAATTCTTACATTTAATCAGTGAATAAGAATAATAAGACATTTGGGCTGTTACCAAGCAAATGAAATCAGTATTAACAAAATTCATCTTTGCAATCCAGACATAAGCTGCACCTGAAGTGGCATTTAGATGTATTTACACACAGTTTAATGCAGGACATGAATGCATTTAACCTGCAGTTACAAATGCATAAATAATGTTTTGATATATTAAACATAAAACACTGAATACTGATATTTGAAATAATTTTAAAAATGAAAAGATACTTTAAATGTGAAATTAAAAGCGCCAGTAGGTGGCAGTAAGTCACTGTTAAGTGAGTCATTGCGACTGAACCGAATCATTTAAACGGTTGATTCATTCAGGAACAAAATGATGTCATGTTGCTCAAAGACTCAAAACAGCGCTGTGGCTTTGTTTGGAATTATTTTTGTTGGCGAAATAGTGCAAAAACAGGCAATATTGTGTCTAAAACGTAAGTCTCTTAATAAAACTTCTAGTTTATTGAACTGTTGTAAAAAATCATTATCACATTTGTATATGGTAATTTTTGGAGAAAAAAAGGCACTCTTCCGTGTGAACTTGAGTATAAATATACACATTTTCTGCCCCCATGTGTTGAATTTGTGATCATTCTGAATGTATTTTAATAGACTGAATCATGCAGTGATCAGGCAGAGCGCTAGACTTCACGTAATGCGTGCACTCTGTAGGTGTTTTGAATGTTTGTTTTTTTTGCGTCGTGAGAATATTGAGTAAAATAGCTCACTTGTCATGGTGTTATTTAACTATATCATGTTATGAATAAACTAAACATTTTGAATTTTTACCTCAGTGTGTTTCTTCTGAGTTTATGTGTGCCGTTACGCTCATTTGTTCTGAAGTCTCTCACAAAGAGACAAACAGAGTGAGCCTCAGCAGCGCGAGCTTGTATTCTGTATTCTGCTAACTTACTGCAATTCTCTCTGATGACGCAGTAACTTACCGCGGGGAAGAAGAAATCTTCGGTCTGTCCAATGATTGTAAACAGTCATTAGGTCCGTCCGACTGAAGATATTTTTGGTCACATTACCGCTAAAATATTTAAGACCCATCAAATCCAAATTTAAGACATTTTAAAACTTTATATTTTAAGGACCAGCGGACACCCTGTGAAGACATTCAGTACACAAAGTATAAACTTGCAAATTTACTAAACTGATGCAACAGCAGCTGGGATACAAATGAAAATCTGGTGCAGTAATCTCTTAAATTGCATAATCAATGTGATTAATTACAACCAGACCAGCAATGAAAGTAAAGACCTAAAAAGGTTTGTCAAAAACTAGCAAGAAAGCTTTTAGTAAAAAAAATAAATTAAGGTTTCTAGTCTTAATTGTTTTACAAGCTAGAAGTTAAGGCCATGACATCTATCAGATAGACAGTGGTTACTAGGGTGCTCTGGTTCTTGCTAGGGCTTTTTAGCATATTGCTAACATGTTTTAGTTCGTTGCAAGTGTGCGGCCCGGATTAGTTAGTATGGTTTAGCATGTAGTTAGCAAGTCCAAAGTTGCTAGGCTTAACTAGAAAGACAGACAGCATTAAAGCTGTAGAATGAGTCAGAAATGTTAGTTTCATAAGAATAAGTTGAAATCGAAGAACAGTATGTTGGCTTTCTTAAGCCACGTGACCACGTGAAGTGTGTGTGAGAGAGAGAGAGCGAGAGAGAGAATTTTACATGAATGTCTGTGATGATTGTAAAGTCGAAACATAATTAACAGTGAATTAATAAGTAAACGCATTATAATAATATTTTAGCGCGCTTGCTCCGCCCATCTCGGCTCCAGCCGCGGCTTGTTTCTAGGGCCGAGAAAATGGAGGCGCTTCAGCCGTAAACGTGGCGAGAGCATCAGACTCACATCTCTGCAACAATCACCTGCTTCAACCAGCAACCAAAACAACACACTTCCCGCCGAATATTGGTCAGGCTCACCGCATAATCAACCACCACAAACTAACTAACAAACAAACACACATACGTTCTAAAAATGGCGTTTCAGTTGAAGTCTATTGTTATATAACTTACAAAAAATATTAAAAATCAATGTTTAGAATTAACACTAACCTGACCGTTGCAGCTAAAACCCAACCAGAGGCTTCGCATCACGGATCGGTTTAATGGCGGCTGCGCTGCGCGCGGATTCTAGCGTTACCTTCCTCGTGTCGCGCTTAATCATTGTGTCGCGTGCAGATGAATGAACTCACCCGTTTTTCAGATCCACCTCCAGCAGCTTCCCGTAGCCACCGAAGAACCGCTGGATGTCTTTCTCGCGGACATTATAGCTCAGCCGGCCGATATACACTCGAGGCATCTTGATTTCGCTTGAGCTCAGGAGCAGCAGATTATCTCCAGCACTGAACACAGCCGCTAAAGGCTTTTGTCCGTTTGTCAACCGGAAGCTCTTCGATCTAGAGCGCCCCTTCTAAAATAAGAGTCCTTTACCTATACTTGTTTAAAAGTGCTACGCCGAAAAGGCCTTTACGGTGCACACAACCAAAACAACACACTTCCCGCCGAATATTGCTCATGCTCACCGCATAATCAACCACCACAAACTAACTAACAAACAAACACACATACGTTCTAAAAATGGCGTTTCAGTTGAAGTCTATTGTTATATAACTTACAAAAAATATTAAAAATCAATGTTTAGAATTAACACTAACCTGACCGTTGCAGCTAAAACCCAACCAGAGGCTTCGCATCACGGATCGGTTTAATGGCGGCTGCGCTGCGCGCGGATTCTAGCGTTACCTTCCTCGTGTCGCGCTTAATCATTGTGTCGCGTGCAGATGAATGAACTCACCCGTTTTTCAGATCCACCTCCAGCAGCTTCCCGTAGCCACCGAAGAACCGCTGGATGTCTTTCTCGCGGACATTATAGCTCAGCCGGCCGATATACACTCGAGGCATCTTGATTTCGCTTGAGCTCAGGAGCAGCAGATTATCTCCAGCACTGAACACAGCCGCTAAAGGCTTTTGTCCGTTTGTCAACCGGAAGCTCTTCGATCTAGAGCGCCCCTTCTAAAATAAGAGTCCTTTACCTATACTTGTTTAAAAGTGCTACGCCGAAAAGGCCTTTACGGTGCACACTTTTTATAGGCCTGTAGCTTCCGGTGATGAATCCGTGGGTTAAAGAGAATTTTAAAATTAAGAAATAAATAAGTCAAATGCAAAGTTGATTGAATGAAAGGTATTTTCTTCATAATGAAACCATATTAAACATATCTAATATCAATTGACCTTGAGCTTAAAAATAAATAAATAAACAAACTCTTTTGTATACTCCTTGTGCTTTTAACTTTACCCACTCATATTATATTAAAGGGGTCATAAGATGCTGCTAAAAAGAACATTATTTTGTGTATTTGGTGTAATGAAATGTGTTTATGCGGTTTAAAGTAAAAAAAAAACATTATTTTCCACATACTGCCTTGAGCTTAAAAATAAATAAATAAACAAACTCTTTTGTATACTCGTTGTGCTTTTAACTTTACCCACTCATATTATATTAATTAACAGACTCCGCTCAGCATGCTGTACACACGCACACACACTCACACTCACACTCTCTCACACGCACACACACACACACACACACACACACACACCCACACACGCACACACACACAA